GAGCTCCTTAACAGCAGACTTTCCCATCACAATACGTTTTTGTTTCTATTAAAGCCTTAAACCAACCCCCCAGGCAAATGAGTAACCGGTAAATGATACGAGCAGAACATGATTAAGGTTGTTCATTACTTACGCTGGGAACAACTCTAGCCGACTTGGTCTGTATGTCTGCTTGCACAGGCCTGCCTAAAAACAGCCCAGGGGAAGGGCCAGTTTGCTTAGCGTGAATGCCAGCATGTTCGGGGCCTTCTGTTAGTGGCCTGACAGGGAAGGAGTTGTATGCCCAACTCCAAAACAAGTGATGTTTCCAATCACTGGCTCTAAGAGGGGCAGTCTCCTCCCATGTGATTTATAGCTTCTGAAAACCCGCTGGAGGATCAGGTTGGGATCAGTTCAGACTTGACTGCAATGACCATGACCAGGCGCTGATTGGCTCTGTCCCTTTATGTGTCTGTCCATACCTCAAGTTCTGCCTCCTCTCCTCTCTCTCCACCCTCCCGGTGTGCTGTTGTTTGTTGTTGTAAACACACCCTCTGGGGAGTTTTTCAGAGGCAGTTAATCCTGACTGGGTCTTTGGCCCATTCCATTTATCTTTCCCAGATGATTGGGTGGGAACAGACAAATGAGGCAAGTCATTTCAACGCAGAGGATTGGCTGGTGCCTGCCATGGGACCGTATTTAAGCCAACCTGAGCACAGGTCCTTGGTGCCAGACGTTAGAGGAACCATAGGAACAGGGACTTTCTGGGGACAGAGGAGACCTGGGACTTCTGTGACGTAGCCATCACCACAGAACTTGGCCCAGGCTTGCTGGGGACCTGAGGAAGAGGACGTGAGGCTGAAGAATTACATCCAGGTGTCATAACTGTAAGTAAGGCTCTGTGGTGCCTGATTAGGAAAGGCTGTGGCACTTAGCCTAGGAATGGGGCCCCTGGCCTTAGGCTTAGGTGGGCCTCAAGGGAAATGATATTCCCAACCAGGGTTGTTCCCTCCTGTGGAGTTAAGAGAGATCCGATGACATTACACTTTTTTTTTCATGATTATTGTATTATTTTTACATGTACCGTCAAATCAGATCTGACTGGTACAGGAGGAGATTGATACCTCCTTCTCTAGCAGAGCATCTGGTGGATTTGAACCGCGTACCTCTGGGATTGCAGTGCAGCGTCTTGCCACTAGGACACCAGAGCTCCTTTGACATTACACTTTTTACAATCCTGTTCTCCCACCATCTCCCTCTGTCTCACCCATCGTTTCCTCGTTTCCTACGTTCTTTGCTTCTTTCACTCCTGTTTAAATTCTATCAGTCATTCTTTACACCTTCATCCCATCTTCCCTCTTTTTATTTTTAAAACTTCCTGCTCAACAAATATTTTCCTCATTCCCTACATGTAGAAGGCATTTAGAATGTTTCGTTTTCCCCTTACACGTTCTACTTTTCTTCCTAAACTTTTCCAGGCAAAGTATTTTTT